CTGCTGATGAATAATCTAATAGATAGCTCTCTATTCAGTCAGTTAAGGTGGTTAGATGGAGATTAAATGGGAATCAGTGGGCATTAGAGCATAAATAATTATATTAAAATTCTACTTTTATCACTCAGATCAACATTTCACTTATTTTGCATGGATGCATGCATGAACACCACATACAGAAAACTAAAGTCAGATCACAGAAACCATTATGCCACAAGCTATTGCTATACATGCTTTATGCATCTGGTGATTACAGTTTTATACTAATTTAAACGTGCTCACCACAGGAGAGCTGCGTTGAAAATGAAGAGTTCCCAAAACAAACGGTGTTAAGTCTTATGGTTTATACATGGGTTAGCTTTTAACAAGGACCTAAAAAGCAAGTTATTTCCTGATAAGCTTCAAAATAGGGTACCATGTGTCTCAGTTTGGCTAGGACAGTTCCAGATTCTGCAAGCCAGTCCTAACCAGTTGGTCAAAAGTCCCAGTCCGGAGTCCGGTTGGCAGGTGGAACAGCATGGTGCAGCAGGCAGCCAGCCACAGAGGTACCACTGGTAATATGCGGGAGCAAGGATGTGCCACGTGCAGGTGGGGGGTGCCTGCTCTGGCACTGTATGTTCTAGGCCTGCAAGATGCAAGCTCTTTGGAACAGGAACTCCCCTGTTTTATTCAGACTGCATCTAGTATATTGAAGCCATACATATAACAAATAAAAATAATGACATCATTTCTTTACTATAAACTGAGTTACTGCAAATTACATCGTCTAATGGCCCACTTTATTAATGCAAATAACCTCCTTTCTTCAGCATCGTCAAAGTAAACATATTTTAGAGGTAAGATGGATTCAATACTGTCACTGGTGTTTCAGTTGCTTCCAATTGCTAACCACGTGGTCAGCATTAGGCCTGTGCAAAGTGGCTAGTATTTGCTTCGGATTCAGCCAGTTTGGAGGACAGTGATTAAATCTGCCGATTCGAATCACCGTCCCAAATTAATTTGGCTGAATCTCCGAATCAAGCAGGCCCCATCCCCTGCCCGCTGTTGCAGCCCTACCAATGGCTGCCCTGCCCAGCTCCAGCCTCCTGGCTCCTTTAAAAAAAAAAGAAGCAGCCCGGCACCCACCAGCTGCTGCCAGACACAGGGGCAATCTGTGCTGCCCCCTACTATCCCATTCTGCATGGGGGGGCTTTGCCATGAGCCCCCAGGGGCCCTGACAGCAGCTGCAGCAGCTGGTGAGCATGGGGCTTTTTTTTTTTTTTTTTTTAAATGAGCCAACACTGGGGCTGGGTGGGGCAGCCATTGACAGGGCTAGGAGAGTGGGCAGAGGATGGGGCCTGGTGGGGGTCCCCCCATTGTCCCCTCCCCCATCCTCCAACCCTGCCCCCTACTTACCAGCACGGAGTTTGGGTCCAGCTCCCTGCAGAGGCGAGTGGGAACTGCCTGAATCTCCAAAGCTTTCTGAATCTTTTCCGAATCAATTTGAAGAGCTTCAAATCAATTCGGACCTTTTTATTGGTCTCCTGATTTGATTCAGATTTGGAGATTCGGCAGCCAAAGCAGGCCGAATCTTCTCCAAATCGAATCAGCACCCAACATTTCACACAGCCCTAGTCAACATACCACACACTCAAACACTGGATCTCCTAGCCATGGTGGGTTCCCAAGAATATCTGCACACTTCACCTAATAAGAATCACTCCTTTCAAAGGAGTCCTTTGCCAAAGCTCCCAGAACTATCCATTTCAGTATCAAAGGATTCAAAGACACATGTTCAGAGCTGTCCGTTTCCTAGTAAGTCATTAACAAAGGATATTAAATAAGAGATACGCCACCTTAAGCATATATGCTTTAAGTTATAGAAGATGATGAACTCTCTGAAAGGATATCTGCCCTCTTTAGCTGTTAGCTGGCTCTGGGAAACTGCAGTAGGAAGCCCTGGGAATTTCTCCTTGACAAAAAGAAAAGCGGAGAATGGCTATCCAAGCTGTTCTATTAAGAAACTCTCCCCAGAACACAGAGAGAG